CTGCAACCTGCAGGTCCAGAGCAGCTCTGTTGTGGTTGTTGTTTTTCCTTCTTTTTCTATTGCTCTATGCACGCCAATAAATAAATGAAAAAATACTTTTCAGGCCTGTTGAAACTATATATAATCTTGGTTAACATAGCTAACCTTCCATGGGGTCAGATTTATTGTATCGTGACAGATGTTAAATTACTAAATCTACCCAAACCAGGTATAGAAGGTTTTTTTTTATTCAGCCCAGATGTTTCTTTTTTTTTTTAAAGAAAATTAGAGGCTTTGTAAAGATGATAAAATAATGTGAGAACGATATTAATTAAAACCTTTTTTTTTGCTTAACATTTTATCAAAAATATTGAAAGCAATCATTTCCTATTTCAGTAAACACCAGCAAAATCTTTATAGGCAATTAAGGCCTTCCTATAATTACTGTAGTTTATATTGATTTTTTTGAAGATAAATAGGCTGATTCCAATATCTTTTTTTTGTTAATGGTCTGAGAAGGATTGTATTGACCAAGGCGAAAATCAATTTTTTTGGCATAAAACTAATAATTCCAGTCGACAAGAAAACACACTCACCACAGTTAAGCATGATGATGGCACCTAATGCTTTGTGTATGCTGGCAGAGTTAATAATTTATGTTTTGTTGAGCTCCTACAGATTTCTACTCAATTCTTTTTTAAAGCTAGTAGTCTGCATGTGTAAGCTGTTTAAAAAAGGATGATAAATTAGCTTTTATTAATTCCACATTATAACTGCATATGGGTTGTTTTAATGGCCATGTGGGTGATTTCTACTCTTATTCCTGCCTATAAAAGGAGAGTATCATAGCATAAACTTGTCTTTCTTCTCGCACCTGAATTGTCTGATTGATAGAGTTGTGTCTGTGCATTATCATCAGCTGCATGCTTCATTATTGGCTTGACTGACCCCTGCTGCAGGGTAAGGTCAGGGCTATTATACTGTAAGTCAGATAAACACTCAATGATTTGCAGTTTCAGGACTGGGGTCAGTCATGTTGGGTCAAATCAAGCTCACGTAGGGTTTGGGTTTGTAAATGGTCACTCAACACACTTTGGATGAATTAAGGCGGTCGGATCTGCCGGTTTGACGTTATGTTTTCTTTGGAGCTCTGCTATCGTCAACAGTTTGCACCCCTGAGACGTGCTTCCTTAAAGGGTTTAGTTAAATTAAGGAGACATTTGTCTTGCTCAAAACAACAAGTTGGCTCCCAGATCCACTGATGGTGCTGATTTGCTCCCCTGTAATTGTGTTAGTTTCAAATACAGCAAAGAATACGTGAGAGAAATTAGAAAGCTTCTGCTGCAGGCTGTCGCTCCCAGAGGACATTACAAACCACCATGTCCTCATTTCAGGGCAAATGACGTGTTTTTTTATGTATGTGCACACTGAATTTATAACATTAACAATTCACATCATTGTTTCTTCCTGTTCTTTATCAATGTTAAATTGTTTTTTTTGCACAAGTCACAGGTTTAGATGTTAAAACATCTGGAAATAGACGTTTATTTAAAACCATAAATGCTATTTGTTTGGAGCTGATGATGTCAGTGCCTACAAGATAATCATTAGGTCTACTTTAAATACTAAATATTAAAACAAAAAGCTTGCATACAGTACCATCATCCACTTTTATCAGAGCATCAGCCATTACAGATATTTATTTATACATTTTAGAGGTGCAGTATTTACTCCTAACATTTATAGTACACTGAAAAAAAAAAATACAACTGTTTTTGGCATTTACTGAATCATATTTAGTTACTTTAACACAAATGTTTTATGACCTACTCTGCAAACATGAAACAATTGTGTTAAAGTAAATAAATGATTAGGTAAATGCCAAATATGGTTGCATTATTTTTTCAGTTAACCCTTACATGGTTTTGGTTGACTGTGATCCTTTATGCTCCACATGTCATCATCTGAATTTAAAACATTATCTCAATCTACTTTTACCTTCATTTTTTTCGTGTCACATTCATACGAGACAAACTTCCCGCTCAGACAGCCTGTGATTTAGTGCAGAACCAAGCTTAAAGCTGAAAAGCCCTTAGGAAAATTCAATCTGATTTCCCTTGGAAAAAACGTTTCTGTTTCACAGCCAAAGTTATTTTTCACTGCAGATGGCAGAAAGTCTCAGAGCATCTCCTTGATGATTTATAGCATTTCATGGAAAAAGGGTCTCTGTCAGTTTTTTATTGTACTGTCCTTCTAGACATGTTTTAAAACTGTAAACTGCACCTCAGAGGACTCAGTTTATCTCTTTTCTATGAAAACTGTTATCATATACCTCATTTACTCATCTGCATTCACTTTGATCATGAAGATATGTCCTCTTTATATGAAATGTTAGCATAATCACAGCATTTGACAGGTTAACGTGTATTATCAGCCTTTGATGAAATGTAAACCCAAGCTGAAGGAGACGTCTCCTGCAGGACAGGAAACTAATCACTTGTGACAAGTAGATGAGCTTTCCTCATCTTTTATTTCAAATATCTTATCTGTTTACTCTGAAAGATGCAAAATGTATAGTTTATTATTCATTCGGCTATTTATTAGAAAATGAATTGAACAGAAGATGACACTACAGTTACATGCTGTAAAGATGTTAAACATTTCAGTCACAAATGACACCTGAATCACTAACCGTCGGCAAAATACATATCCCAAAATTATATATCTTGTTATTGATAATAATATTTTCCCTTTATCTGTATTAAAAACAGCCATAAACAGTGGAACAAAGAATATAATGTTAAGCTTGATATTTTGCTGTGCTCTTTCTGATGCCTCCAAGTAATTTTAATGATGCCACAATAATCCAGTTACTTTAGTATGCATAACATTTATTTTTATAGTCTGACCTTTCTATGTCTGCCTGCTAAGATGCTTTTTTGTCACTGCATGGAGTTTTCTAAAGGCTACCATTTGGTATTTTATTTTAAACTTCTGGATTTGTGTGGCTTCTTAAGATTTTTGATTCTGCCTGTGAAATAATACAAATTTATTAACTGATTTATTTATTCAACAGGGTAATACATATGAAAAAGTGCACTTGCACTTTACTATCAACCCAGAATTCATCTACCTGCGTCCCAAGACCCTAAATGCAGTGTGTAATTAATCGCTGGAGTTGGAGCGGGACTGATGTTGAGAAAGTTATGATGATAATAATAATTATTAAATCTGTGAGAAACGTTTAATGCTGTGATGCATAAAATTCCACCACGGATCAGGGAAGTTTGATAATCCCAAGAAGAAAAGGACAAGATTGGATTAAGATGTTCTCTCTATCGCTCAACGGTTTATAAATTTTTTAAAATTCAACTTGACTATGTAGTGGAGCACTGTTTCTTAAAAGATTATCAGAATATACTGGCTACAGAAACTCCTTTGAACTCAAAGGAATAGTAATTATTATCTATAAAAATTATGAATTTATACATTCCACAAAACTTTCTATTATAATTCTATAATTCTACAACTTCAATCAAGAGTGAATCAAATTGTTTCTCTATTGAAACAGGGATTAAATATCAAGAACATAAATATTAGCTCATAGATTCACCATGTGGAAAACAATGGGATCCGTTACAAAGACCTGTTTTTTATTAAATTATTTGGATAAGTGGATTTTCAACATCTGTTTCAAGGGTAAAAAAAACAGACAAAAATCGTAGAAAACTTTGATTTCTTTGTAACTTTTAATTAGCAGATTTGTGTGAGGAAAATTTGGGATATGCCAACATTCATTGGAAAGGCTTATCACCTGCATTGGGTATAATTACACAGACATGTCGTTTAGAGGAGGGTTTGCTCTTGATGTGTTGCTCTGACTGACATTGCTGTTTTGGACAGGGCATGCTGTGCTGAACAAATATGCAAAATGCTGAGCTCAAGAAAATGTTATTAATGGAGAAAAAAGCATGAGATGATCTGGATATGGAGCATGGACAGCAACAAGCCTGGAGATCGGCATGGGAATGAACTGAACAATCCAACAGGAGCTTCCAAATCAGAAGCAACAGGTCAGTGGCATTAAGACAAATTTTGTTCAGAGACACAGCTGAAGTAACTGGAACGCAGAGTGGCAGAGAGCAGGGAATGAATGGAGGGAGACTAATAAACATGAATGAAGCTAAACAGAAGTATATGAAAATTAAATATATGTATATATATGAAAAACAAACTTCAAATCAAGAAAGAAGGAGGGGACACAATATGAATATATTTACCATCCAAACCAACTCAGTGGAAAACTAAAAGAGCCCTAAACAATGGCAGTCTGAGGTCTTTAGAAAGAAAGTTTTTACAGTTTAGGGGTCTGGCAAGCGTTTAAAGAATAACATTGGCAATTTCCTTATACAAAAAAAAATGTGTGGAGATGGAGGACATTAAAAATCACTTCTAACCTGTCCTTTGCTAACTGCCAAAGCAAGTTAGACATGGATATGTGACCCATAGAGCAGATCACAAGATCCCAAAAGTAGTCTCCAAAAAGCCCTAACCTGTCATCATCAGACTTGATAAAATGAGCAATCATTGGTGAGATAAATTCACATTTGGATTGTTCTTTGCTTATAATGATAATGAGTAATCAGAATACAAATAAGAAAAAAAAAATACCTCTGCCAATAGAACTCCATAAACATCTCAGATTACCACAAGTCAGACCTCCGCAGGATTACATAATTCTACTGGCTGCAGTTAGATTGGAAGCTGGCAGCAGGGTTAGTTTGACAGCTTTTAACTTTATTTATTTTGTCACTTTGCCGGCTTAAAAAAAAATGGAGATTAAATCTCCATCAGCCCCCTAAACATTAAAAATGATCACCTTATATCCCCTGTCACAGTCAGTTTGGTTTACCTTCATTTCCTCCACTATATCCCCTCCTTCTTCACACATCAGTCTCCTCCCCCTCTACCTCCTTTCTGCCTTCTCCCTTAGTTCGGTTTTTGCAGAGATCCACCGGCTGCCTGGACCTCTCTGCTCCTCCTCATCCTCCTCACTGGTCGTCCAAATGGGATTCTGCAGGAACCTTTGAGGGGGAGCAGCACTGAACTGGCCCAGTCTGATATAACAGGAGAGAAACACCCTGAAAGCTGGATCTGAAGGTAAGATGGATGATTAAGAAGCAAAGTTTGTAATTCATGTGAGATTTTATTAATGGATATTTAAGATATTTATTTTTAAGTCTAACTAGGGCTGTTTGAATGAGTTTCAAGGACGTTTGGAGTCATAATTGTTTTAGGGAAGCAGATCTAAATTGTCTCATTTTTAATAGTTGATTTGAACCACCTTTTAATTTCACCCACAAATGTTTTATGAAACCAATTCATCATCATGTCTGGTCCCAGAATGTATTTCTGGATTCCCTCTTCTTTAAAGTTCTTACCGCAGGTCAGAATTTTAGCCTCCAACTCTGTAACCAATCTGCACAAAAATTTCTCCCACTATCATCTGTCAGCGGCTCATTTTCTCCAGAGTTTTTCTTCTGTGAATTAAACATCCATAGGCAAATATTTTACTCTTCTCCAAAACACATAAAGGCATGGTTCCTTCGGCTGGGTGAAACACTGATCCTTCTCCTGTGCAGTGATGTTGTTAGCACTCTTTTTGTCCTGAAGCGCTGTTGATGAATAATTGAAAAACATGCAGACAGTGTTTGGTTCACAGTTTTGTGCTCCGAGCCCCCTGCAGTGCTGCATCCTAAAAGCCTGCAGCTTCATCTTAGTCTTGAGAAAATTTTTCTTTTTTTCATCAAAAGCCATCCCACTGATCTATTGCTGCTGTTCTGACACTTGACTTGTAAGGATGATTCTGATGAGACTTTGAATAGTTTTATTTCCTCTCTGCAAAACATCTGTCACTGTCTGAAAGATGATTTAGTAACATTTTAAGTGAGAAGAGTTTATGTCTTCTTCCAGAATCCAGAGGACTTGCGGAGGTGAAGGTGTCAGGGAAGTGTGATAGATAAAGGAGTTTTGGAACTTTTTTTTTTTTTGGCCAGCCCTGCAGGATGTCTGCAGGGTTATTGATCACTAAGAGTGTTTGCAGGTCTTTTGTCTCATTTTTAGCCAGCAGTATTATGACCTTCTTCTTCATAGCTATCATCTTTCTCATTGCTGGTCCTGAGCCGATGCACACGGGGGGAAACAGATCAGGTGACTTAACAAACTGATAATTTGGCTTGTGTTCAAATTCAGCTGAAACAGTAGAAACTAGGCTTTACAGTCTCTGATAACGAGATGTTAATATCACATAATGTGTTTTTTCTGATTACAAGTCACAGCAATGTTAGGTTAATAATGAACAATTAATATGTTTAATTTGATTATTTAGAGATGTCAGCTCCACTGACCTTCATCCCTTTTTACATTTTTTTGCATAAAACAATAAGAAACCTAATTATATTTTTTTTGCATTTTTGTAAAGCGGAAGAAGTTAAGACATATTTAAGAAAAATAAAGGATTCTGAAAGGTTTAGGGCTAAATTGATGTTTACCCTCTTTACCCCTGAATGAAATCACTGGTAGAACAAGCAAGAAGGGCATTAATTGTATGCTACTATGGGCTTAGGTTACCAGCTGGCCTACTGACCACTTTTCCTTACTTTGCTACTATCTCTTACATCTTTTCTCTTACATTTTTTTTTTTTTTTTTTTACCTATCTTATTATCCTCTGGTTAGCTGATCTGTTTCTGTCACTAACCTTATTTTCTGTCTCTCTCCAGATAAAAGTCTTAGCACCATCTTTCTGGTCTTACACTCTGTCCCTACCCAGAACAAAGAACCTGAAGCCTATTTACTTGTTCTGTACTTTTGGACATACATATTATTACTTGCTTAAAACTTATGTTTAGCTATGCTCCTGCTCTGAATAAAATCAATCAAAGGGTAGCTGCTGTATTATAATACAAAGTATGTTGGTAGAAGTGCCTCGTATTTTTTGTGGATCTTCTGTCCTCTCCAACCACTAGTTTGTCACTGCAGATGGTTGCTTAAGCAAAGCTTAGTTTTACTGAAGGATTGCAGTAAGCTAATGGATCAATTGTAGTCCACTGTTGCTAGATGTTCAGTCAGAAGGGATTGCTGTAAAGTAACCTGGATTCCCTAGAGAACACTTTAAACTGAAAATAAACAGAAATTCTTAGCAGTGTTTGATATCTAGAATCTATATGATTGATCTTAAATCTATTAAATTTATATTTTTTCAGTCAACTTCATTTTGAAAAAAGAATGAACAGTAAACACGCATTAGATGCATTCTGGGCCAGTCAGACCAAAACTGAAATAAAAAAGAAATAACTATTTGTATATTTTTGACAAAAAATAACACATATCTAAATTAATCTCAAAACACAGTAGTGCTGGCATAATGCTTTGGAAAAAGTTTTCTTTAGCTGGGAAATAAAAACTAGTCAAAGCTAATGCTATATTACAAGAAAACAGCAAAAAATTTCAGTGACTAGATGTGTAAATGTGTTAAAGACCATATATAATATATTCATTTTCACAAATAAACTGTCATTTTCTATCAGCTTCCCAGTGCAACTATGTAGTTGGTCTGCATTATATTTGGGGGAAGGTGACAAAATGTGAAGAAATAAAAGTGCTAAAACATTTTCATTAAACTGTATGAACAAACTATATAAAAATAAAAGTAGGAGGCAGAATGAAGTTGATTCACTTTAAATAAATAAAAAAATGCATGAGATGATTCAATGTATTTTGAGTGTTTAACTAATATTGACTTAAACATCAACGTCGGCTTTGACTGTACAGGGAAACAAAATCAGCACTAGTAAACTGGGCGAAAAGTTCAGAGATATTATGCAAAATTGTGATTGTCGTGGACTGTTTGTAAGGCTGCAGTTCACATGTTTCTGTGGCGCCTTGTCTAAAACGTTGCTCACTCCAGAAATGATATATCCCTGCAAACGCTCAGTCCACCTCCTGTGGGAGCATGTGTGTACCTATTAATACTGTACAGGACATCTTATCTTAGCGCTCTCTCGCTATTAGATAAAGAAATATGAGAAGGTTTTTATCGATAAACAAACTGCTTAAAAAAGCAAGAAAATGAAACAACTAAGCTCTTGTTTCCTCCAAAAGTTCCGTGGTGTGGTAGCTATTTATGGTTCAGCGGATTGAAGTCTCTGTGAAAGTTCAGTCTTGACAAAACAGTCACTGAAAATTGTGTTCTGGAGCTTTTGGTCAGATACATGTCATGTAAACATCTCAGTGTGTCTTTGTCCTTTCCTCCAGACTCTGCTAATGTTTTCTGACATAACTTTTTTCCCTAGAAAGTTGTCTTCTAAAAGCTGAGTTAACATAATTAGTGCTTGACAAAACAAAGTTGGCAAAAATAACCACAAATCTCAGTTCATACATTTCCAGATATATAACAAGCTAGAATATGTTGGAATTATGTAACAAAACATATGGCAATGTTAAATAGCAAAGTCGGTTTCTCAAGCCACTTGTGACCTAATCTGGTGGAGAGCATCATATTTCCAGATGTATTGAGGCGATTTAATATAAACACAAGCTTTCTTTTTTATACATCAACGGCTACAAATCTTTAGCTGGGTGTTTTCTCTATGGTTTAAGTCTGTTTATTGGGAATTTTCACCATCTTCCAGAAGTGCATTTGTAGGATCAGATATTAATGTTGGCTGAGGAGGCCTGGCTCCTGTTTTAAACTCCCACTCATCCCAAATGAGTATTTTGTTTGGTTGAGGTGAGGACTTAATGTAGGTCCCTCAGGTTGTTCCATACCATGCTTCCTTATCCATGTATTTTTCAATGTTGCGTTGTGGACTGGTGCCAAAACTGATAAAACAGGAAACGGGTAATCCTGAAACTTTTCCCGCAAAGTTAGCAGCATGTTCCTTTCCTTAGAACTAAGGGTCCAAATCCAACTCCTAACAAGTAGCCCAACATCAAAATATCAAAGTCTGCAGACTGCCCAACTCTTGCAAGAAAAAGAAGAGACAAAAGAAAAACAGTTTAAAACAAATGTACATCTCATTGGAACAGGAAGTGGCATTTAAATTTTAAAGCTTACTTGAATTATAATAACATTCATTGCCTCACACAGGCCTAGTAGGTCTGGGAAGACATGGTGGATGGTACATTGTTGTTTTTTTCCCTAGTTTTATCTAATACCCTGTCTAATCAACAAGCAAAATTTCCCACAGGAACATTCAAAATCCCCTCCTCAACTAAAATATAGATAGAAAGAAGGAAAATCCTTCTCTCAGCTTTTAAGTCTTTTAGTACAGTTTGGAATTTTATGTAGGATGCAGTCAGCACAAAATAAATTAGATGCAGAAAACAGTTTTAAAAAAGTATAGTTCTGCTCAGTGTCCAACATTAAACCTAATTCTGTAAATTGAGGAAGAACACTTAAACAACAAAATAGAGAAAAGCTAGGCAAAAACTTGGTGCCAATGCATAAATGTGCTGCAAACACAAAATTGATCGTAACAAAAACACATGTAAAAGAAAAATTATGCAAGAAAGAAAAAAATCTGAAAGTTAGGAAAAGCTGCAAACTAACTCCACACAATGGAAGTCCTCCAAGGACCCGGTTTTTCTGGACTGGGTCCTTCGAGGTCCATGAAAATAAGGAGGCCGGAAGAGTTTTGGTTATGGATTCAAGTAGGTCCATTCTTCTCTGGCTTTCACCACCCGGCTCTATCGCCTAGCAACAATTACAGCAGACACAAAAAGCAGGCAAAGAATGGATAGAGCTCTTCTGGGTGCTAATAACATTTTTGAAAAATGTCAGCAGTAATACTGTCATCAAAAATATCAGATTTGTAGTCCCCACAATGCAGAGATAGCTGCAGCTTAAATGTCAGCCAAAGCCACTTGGACAGCGACAGGTAAAACCTTTCTATAAACTAAATGTTACCCAACACATATCCTACTCAATAGCCATTTAAAACAGTAATTTTCATTAACTTCAGACAGAACTATTCCCATGCTGTAATATATCAAACTGCACTTATAAAATTCTCCATTGTTCGGCACCATTTACCTTTTTCCTCTGAGCACGGAGCAGCTGACTTGCTTGGATCTCCAATGAAACACAAGATACCCAAGGCTCCGTAGGATACACTAGACCTGTAATTCAACATGGTTAAAAAGAAGGCTGCATTTGTCGACCGCAGAACGTCGCGTCTTCCAATCCGAACAGGGCACAGCAGCCGTAATTGGCCAATGAATCTGGCCTTCAGAGGACACAGCCACTGCATTCAAACTCAGCACATATTTAAAAAAGAAGAACTTACATTTTCCTTCTTCCCTTCAAATTTGGTGCAGTATGACATCTCCTTTATGTCTTTACTAAGGTCTGGTCTCAAATGAATTGAGGGCCGATTCCCCCTAGTGATCTGGAGCACTCCCGTTATGCAAAACAAATTTTTTATTTTTCTAAACTTGCAGTTAATTTTGGGACACACAGTGTTTTTCCTCTCCATGTGATTTGTAAGTTACCTGGATTTTTCTGTTTGCAGTACTTTTGTATTTGCAGCTAGTTTATGTAATTGCAGAACGTTTGCACCTCTCGGCCAAAATAAACCTTAAAAGCAGACAGATAAATCAAGACTAATGCAGGATTAAGGTCCGATAGTTCTGCTCCAGATCGTGGGAAACTCATTTCAGACAGGCATGTAACCATCCTGTTCCTTCTAACCTGTTCTTCTTTTATACCATGAATCACATCATTTATCTTCACAACTGCAATTTGGTCTAAGCCCCTCTGCTGGTGCTAAGATAAAATAAAGCAGCAATCCACAGAGCAGTTGAGTGTTGCTCAGGTTTATTATCAGATTACTGCTACATGCAGTAAACGTGTCAGTCGTCCAAAGCTTGTCGGGGTTTCAGCACATAAACAACCTTTACAATGGCAGTAATTAAATACCACAAACTGCCTGTGGGAATGATTGCCCTACTCAGATTAACAGGAAGGTTTTATGAATGGGTCAACTCTGATGTGCTGTTTATGCAGGTTGTGTATCTAAAGATAGCTATGAAATGTCCAAAATTGTTGACATTAAATTACAAAATGAGTAAGGACAATTAGGGGAGCAGGTTGTGAACAGTGAAGGAAGGGTTAACAACGCTCAGGTGAAAAGGTCAAACGGAAAGACAGAGGTACTGTATACTGAGAAGCAGGAGGTTAGCAGGGTCAATGAGTCAGCCCATCTGTTGTTGTGAACCTGCAGGTTAATCGACTAAGAGCACAAACTGACACTGTTTATGTGTAAGACGGTTTGACTGTGCAAATGTTTTTCTGTGATCCTCCATAATCTACATTATATGCGCCAGCATTTCATCTGCAAATGAGAAGTTGTTTATGTCAGCTTATTTTAAAAGTATTCTTTTGCTGCAAAGATCAGTTTACTAAGGCTGCTAAATATATATTTAATGTTATTTTCAACCCCAATTAAGTTAAATATCTTATATTACCAATATTAAAAAGGATGTGAATTAAGGTGAAATGAAAACAAAAAATTGTGAGAAGACCACCATTAGTTATTTTTTGTGCTCATCTAAAATTAAGACCAGCATTATGTGTACCCCTAGCAAGTTTAAATCATTTTTATTTAAACAAGATTTTTTGATAGTAGAGCAAATGGAAGACATGCATTAACCAGAGATCATAAAAAAAACCCAAAGGTAAAATAAAGATTTTGCTTTTTTCTACATTGTCTTTTAAGGATGGCGTGTCGTCAAGGATTTATTCCCCTTCCAATAATCAATAAAACAATCTTTTAAGACATGAGAGCAATCAAATCATTTTTATAAGTGGTAAGCAGCTTTAGAGAGTTTGTCTTTTGTAATAAGCTCTACGTTTGTGAGTTTTGGAAAGTCTTCCTGCCAACACACAAATGTGTTCCTCTTTCTCTTGATTTAAGTCCTGATTCTAGTTTGACTCCATAAAACAATACTGCTTCAGTCAGAAGAAAGATTTTGGTTTTATTCAAAGGTTACTTTAAACCTACAGTATGCACAGATGCAATCAGTTGATTTAAAGTGTATATCATTAATCAAATCACTGAGGAAAACAAATAATATTGCTTAATTACTCACAGACCTTGTTTTAAGTCTTTATTTCTGTTATCTATGATTATTTTCCCTATTAAGCTAAATAGATTACACTAACTTATAAAATATATCTTGTTTATCTATTACATATGACTATCTTCAGTCTGACTGGAATAAAACAAAACTGTGCACAAACAGCGAAATGAAAAGGCAATGTTTTTGGTCAAATCATTTAGTTAGTTCTTATATTCAGAACCACTAAACAGATTAAATCATCTCCGAAAGAAGACATGCATCTTTATGTTGTTGAATATTTTCAAAATCACACAGTGCTTTGTGTTTATCTATTACCGTACATAGAAACCTAATAAAATAGATTGAAGTTTATAGTTGTGATTTAATAAAAGGTAAAAATGTATTGATGCTCATGCAAAATACACAGCATGTGCATTAAAAATACTAAAATTAAAAAGACAAAATCCATAATAAAATCAAAAATGGTCTTGCATGATAAATATTGTCAATAAATTTTGCCTGACTTTTCTTGCGAATTAGTACATCCAAATAAAGAACACAACATCTCACAGTTACTTCATTATGGTGGGCATTTCTACTTGAGTAAAAGTACAAAAAAAATTGAAGTCCCAATGAAGTACACAAGTAAGAGTAAAAAAATACTTGGTAAAAAGGCTACTGAAGTTCTGAGTTTTACAATTTAAAATGATGTAAATCAGAAAAACACAATATAAAGTTATGTTCACATTCAATTTTTTATAAGGACTTATAGAAAATAATGAATTCAAATTAAAAAAAAGCTTGAGAAAAAAATAGTTCAGGCAGAAGAAACCCTTCTCAGAATCCATTTCAGGATGAACTACCTCCACTGACAGTACAACGTTTTTACTGTATATTACTGTGATGACAATATGATGAAAGTAACAATTGTTAAAACTAACAACAAAACAAAAATTGTGTATAAAAGAGTCTATTTTCAGTGGAACTACAGCTGTCTGCCTGTATCTGCTGTATTTTAGGTTTAAATGTGCTTTTTCTTTTTTTTTTTCAGTGAAGTTAGTCACAGTGGGTAGAACAGCCAAATATGTTACTCAAGTACAGAAGTGTCAAAAGTATTTATGTTTATTACTCAAGTAGAAGAATAAATCCTACTGTTAAAAAAATATTTTTTCAAAGCTAGAGAATCAACTCCAGCTTTTTACTCTAGTAAAAGTCTAAAAGTACCAGTTTTAAAGCTACTTAAAGTATAAAAGTAAAAATAATGCAGATAAAAAGTAAGGACAGATGCTTTAAACCTCATACTGGTTATAGCGCTACTCTATCAAAGGAACATTTTTCCACAAATCTGGATCATAACTTCCTTATACCTAATTTTCTTAGTTTTATAACTATGGCAATAGTATGAAATGTAACTTTGCATCATCTTGAACAACATTTTATTTTGGTATGTGTCAAATAACAAGTCAGTGCAACACCGAGTCCAACCACAAGGAAATTGTCTGGATGAAAATAATTATTTCGAGGTTTTTATTTCTTTTAAATACCAACAGAGCATACCGAAAATGAGCTTACCTGAAACAAAACTAAAGAGTCTATTTTTTAAATGTAAGAAGTAGAAAGTCAAGACAATTGCAAAAAACATAAGGAGTTGAAATAAGAAGTTGTATAAAAATAATTACTCCAGTAAAGTATAGATAGCCAAAATATCTATTTAAGTAAAGCAATAAAGTATTTGTTTTACTTAACACCTCTGCTCAAGTAGGAGTAGTGATGCTGATAGTAATATTACATAGTAATGTTACTTAAGTAAAAGTAATACGTATGATGCAGTGAAACTTCTCCTAAAAATACATTTTTATCAAAAAGTTATTCCAGTAAATGTAACTAAGTAAATATAATTATTTATTACCCACCTCCGGTTTTAAAGGGAAACGCCGTTTTTTTTAACATTGGGCTCTTGATTCCACGGATGATGTCATACACGCACCGCTTCGTTTTTAAAAGATATAAATATAAAAAATATAACCGCGGATGTCTGGGGAACAGTGATTCGCCTACATGTTATGAATGCTGGCGTACCATAAAGAATAAATTATGAACAGTTTAGTTTGTGTCTTCAAGACGATTGCCCATAGGAAGATGTTACTTGGATATAACCTAACGGAATATCTTCAGAACAGCTCCAAATGACACAAAACTCATATGGGTGAGTAGAACATGATGTAATAACGTTTATTCAAGGGCCCAATTTAAAAAAAAATGGCATTCCCCTTTAAGGCTGTTTGTCGGCTCAGAAGTGTCAGAGCACTAGATCACTAAAACCAGGCATTTAAGTGTTGTTGGGCTGTCTTGCTTTACAAGCTCAAAAACAAAACAGACTCACACATTTTTACCAGCTCTGAAATGCATTCTTACTCACAGGAGACATGGATCATTAAATTCAAAATGTTCAAAAGCAAGAGTTTCCAGCAGACAGTTCCCATTAAATCTGCTTCTTTTAGAAACTATAGCTCAATTTTCTGCTTTTTCTACTGTTCCACAATTACTTGTGAGTTAGTTTTCTTATTTTTTGTCATTTTTATTTTTCAGAGGAACCACTGAGGCCATGATCGACTGGCCCAATGTGACAGAGTCCAGCTATGAAGAGCTGGGCCTGAAACCTGAGGAGCTGCAGAGATCCAAATGTGTCCTTGGCTTTATTCCTGTCATTTACTACAGCGTTCTGCTGTGTGTGGGAGTACCAGGTATACTCTTCCACTAGTTTACAACTCACTAAAGGCTAAACTAAATATAACCAAAGCAATCAATACAAAAATGAATTAGTGGTGCTAATGGGAGAGCTAGCTAATATAATATAATATAATATAATATAATATAATATAATATAATATAATATAATATAATATAATATAATATAATATAATATAATANTAATATAATATAATATAATATAATATAATATAATATAATATAATATAATATAATATAATATAATATAATATAATATAATATAATATAATATAATATAGCCACATGATGTGTGCTAATGCATTGATTTCCCTAGTTTACCCAAACCTCGATGATAATCTGAGAGTAACATTAATTATTTAGGCTATTGCATTTCCTTTATTTTGGTCACATAAAAAAAAAAAAAAATACATTTGTTTTGATCCAAAGGGGATTTTACAGTAGAGGTATTATCACATTTAGATGACTCCTAAATGAATTCACCTCATTAATTGTTCTTAAATGTAAATATATCTAGAGTTTAGGAAACTTTTAGTCAATCATAGGAAAAAAAGTCCTTGAGAAATGAAGTATACTTTAAGAAAATGTAAAATAAAGGTTAGAAATAAATATGAATCTGAGTTATTTAAAGCAGCACCGTATTATTTTTTGGTCAAATCATGTCAATATTGATTAACAGAAAGTACTATGCTAAGCATGTAAGTATGTTTCAAATTAAGCTTATGGTATTTTCCAGATAGTTTGAAATGAATTTATTTTCATAAAATGTTAAAAAATCTATTAAGTTAAATGTTAAAACTCTCAGTTGCTCATTACAGTTACGTAAATATGACCATATTTCATAAACGGATGATGAGATCAGCTGTTTATAGGACATTTTCATTGCTTTGTCAACATTGCAGTTATCTTAAATCTGTTATACAAATAAACCTGGACTGATTTCATTTTTTTCCAGTTGTGTTTTTCTTTGTAGAATATAAAACAATAAATTTATAAAAGCAGTTTTGCACAATATCATAGTGCAAAAAAAAATTAAAAAAAATAAAATACTTACAAGCTGCTTTACATCCTGCATGTATATCTTAAGGGTGTAACAGTCAATGACGTCCTGTTTCAGGTATTTGCTGCAGCATTTTTGGTGCAGTACAAATGCATTCTGCATTGTTGTAATTCTAAACCTATGATGGAGATTAAAAGAAAGGAATAATGTAGATATGCAAAGCTTTACGGGCTTTTAGTGCTCATTTTTTAAAATAAAATAATGAATATGCTTGAAGTTTGTACCAGTTAATACATTTCAATTGACTGAAGCGTTAAATTCTGATTTTTTTCAACTATATTGTTATGGCATATTTGAGTCTCTATGAAATATAAGTATTGTGTAAAAACTCTAAAATCTAACAAATGTTGAACTTCAGGCCTTGAAGACTGTTGATACTGTACTTCTACTCTATGGGTAAAATGATCTAATTCCTGCTTTTTTCTTTCTTTGTTTTTTCAGTAAACATCCTCACAGCAGTGGCTTTATGCAGGCTGGCGTCACGCACCAAGAAAGCTCTTTACTACTACCTCTTAGCAGTAACAGGCTCAGATATCCTTTCCCAGCTCTTTATCATCTTTGTCGGCTTCCTGCTAGAGACAGCTGTTTTCCACCGTGACGTCCCTACGGTCCTGTTGCACGTGGTCAGTGCTGCAGAGTTCGCTGCAAACCATGCCTCCATCTGGTCCACTGTACCTCTGACTGTGGACCGGTACGTAGCGCTGTGCCACCCATTGATCCACCGTCAGATCAGCTACCCGGCACGAGCCAGGAAGATCATCGCAGCTGTGCTGTTGTTGTCCCTCGCATCAGGTGTGCCTTTCTTCTGGTGGTCGGACGTTTGGAGGGACAGCCACCCTCCCACTGCCCTGGATGCCGTCCTCATATGGACACATGTGACCATCATCTACTTCCTCCCCTGCACCATCTTTTTGGTGCTAAACTCCTTAATAATCCATACACTGAGATTAAGGCAGAGGCAGCAGCCCTGCCAGGAGGAGCGTGGGCCTCCACGCCGATTAGGAAAAACTACCGCCATGCTGCTGGCCCTCACCTCTGTGTTTTCAGTTCTTTGGGCTCCCAGAACTGTTGTAGTCATCTACCACCTGTATGTGTCCTCAGTTCACCAGGACTGGCAGGTCCACCTTGCTTACGATTTGTCCAATATGCTGGCAATGCTCAACACAGCTGTAAATTTTTTCCTGTACTGCTTTGTCAGCAGGCCTTTCCGTAGCACCGTGCGGGACATCGTACTGCTCAAAGGAGGGCCACTGCACCCTCATGGGGCACTCCCTCAGCAGCAGGCCCCAACTAATGCCTCCATCTCCTCTCTGTACAGTGGGAACAAACGCTCGCAGCGGGACTCCACTCCCTTGTCTCCTCGCAGGAACAGAAAGCCCTCATGACCCCACCATTAAAACAAAACACACGTCCTCCCACGGCCCTAGTGCATTTTAAACTCCAGGGAGCAGCACTTTGTTCCAGGCATGACTATGGACAGCAGCCAATCATCCCAGCAGCTTTCTAACAGAGCTCCAAGCTGTTTTTTTGTTTTCTCTGATCTGGTGCTGTTTGTCACCGTAAATCAAACAAGAATGCTTTTTTTGTTTTTGCTCCAAGGAATTTAGAAAAAAAAAACAACAAAAAAAGGTCTCCATTTTTGGTTGAAATATGAATTTTTTCCCCAACTTATACAGTCAGACATCAAGGAGGGATGAAAATAAAAGTGTAAATCAAATGTTTGAGTGTAAATGTAATAACAATTAGTCTGCTGAGTAAATTCTGTTGTTTTGCGAGCCTAGAAAAAGTAAAAGAAAAAAAATATCGTGAATGTGGACCGATCCATTTATATGCCACAGATTTCAGCCAGCCGAGCAAAAACATTAAGCAAACACTCAGGACAAAATCTGCAGCTAGTTGAATCTGGAGTATTTTTGCTTTTTTTCATTAAATGCAGCCCATTGGACACTAAAATGAAAAGCTTGTTTATGAGGCAGGTGTTTCGACCCTGCTTTATAAACAAGCCCTAAATCTGCTGCTACATCAGCCTAACATGACTTCAGCTCTGGCGAAGCAAACTGCAGCTCCGCCGTGAATGTGTGTGCAAACACAAACAGATAACACAGTACATGCACCATCTCATTCATGCATGATCATGTGCACTCATATCCAGCTAGTACATTTCCACTTGCAGTGAATCAGTGAACCATTATGGAAGCTGCATCGGTTATTTACACAAACTACCTGAGACTGTATGATTTAAAATTTCATGTCACAGTTTTTATAAAGTGAGTTATTGTATAAGGTATGTTTTTTTATTCTTCATGCTGCACTATCTGTCAAGACAGAAGTAAATGTAGAATGTGTTTTTTTCTGTAACTTGTTTTTCTGTAATTTGACATTAAAAATACTATTTTATATGAACTGAAAACTTGATTCCTTGCCATCTTAAATGTCTGCTGTTATATAAATCTTGCAGTACCCATCAAGCAGTGATCATTTTTGTTATGAGATTCTCTTTGATAAATTTCATTCTATTTATTTTTGGCATGACATGATTTAATCCTGATTTCTCCATCAACCTTATAAATCAAGGTGATTATCCATCCATCCATCCATCCATCCATCCATCCATCCATCCATCCATCCATCCATCCATCCATCCATCCATCCATCCATCCATCCATC